GCCCGCACCGTCCTGAAGCCGCGGGGCGGTCGTTGGCGTCCGGCCCCGGCCCGGCGCCTCAGAGCCTGGAGCTCCCGGGGGGCCAGGGGGGACCCGACCGGCGCCGGGTTCGAACGGAAGCCGAGGGGCCGATTGTGACCCGTGTTCTGGGTTCGCTGAGTGAACTTCACCCACGGACTGGATGCGCGGTACTGACAGGTTAGACATGGACGCCCTGTCTCGACTGCAAAGGATCGTGATGTGCTTGTGCAAAATTGCGTGGCGGGTGTCGAGAATTTTCTCGGCACAAGTCAAGCGACGCGACGAGGTCAGTCGGTCCGGGGAGTTGCGGTGGCTGCGTCGTGTTGATTCCGAAATAGCATCTTTGAAGGAGTAGCGGGCACGAAGTGGCTCACTGTACTTGACGGAGGCTTCTCTCCTCTCTCCCTCTCCTTCCTGTGACTTAGAGGCCCCGGCTGAGGAACTAGATGACAGAAGTTTAGAAGAAATTTTGAGTAGTATTCCTCCACCCCCACCCCCAGCCATGACCAGTGAAGCTGGAGCTCCTCGGCTCATGATAACTCATATCGTAAACCAGAACTTCAAGTCTTATGCCGGGGAGAAAATTCTGGGCCCTTTCCATAAGGTATTAGTCTGTTTCAAGAAACTATTGTAATACTTCTTCAAGACAAATGTTTCTGTTTGCTTACTGTTTTCTGTGCCTATGAGTTTTAACAACCGAATGAGGTTTTAGTCATCTGGTATCTTTGGTACCTGGTTAGTATTGAAGTTCTTTCTCGTTGGGTGGAATCGTGTGTTTGTGTTTGAGGGTAATATTTTCTCTTTATTAAGATGTTTTATAAAACGTCTGGATTAGAATTTTTTACTTAAGGTATCGTAAAGGAGAAAATATGTAAGAAAGTATAAATTATGTGTTTTCTACTAGTGAGAACTTTTGAGTGCCTGTAATTTTTACTGCAAGTAAAAAGTAATTTAATCAGTCTTCAGCTTTAAAAAAAAATACTTTTTTCTTATGCAGCGCTTTTCCTGTATTATTGGGCCAAATGGCAGTGGCAAGTCCAATGTTATCGATTCTATGCTTTTTGTGTTTGGCTATCGAGCTCAAAAAATAAGATCTAAGAAACTGTCGGTGCTAATTCATAATTCTGATGAACATAAGGATATTCAGAGTTGCACTGTAGAGGTTCATTTCCAAAAGATAATTGATAAGGTAAGGGTTTTGTTTTGTTTTCTATTTGCAACTTCGAGTAAGGAAAACAAAGGACTTGAATGCATTACACATGTTATTCCTGTTAGATTAAGTCAGCTTTTAAAAATACATGTGAATTTAAGTAAAAGGTTGCTCTCATTACCTCCATGGTCATATCTCTTTTGGGAGAATGGTGGTGGCTGTTAAACATGAACATTTTTAGCCAGAAAATGGATTATAAATAGCTTGGTAATCATTATCTTCTTGGAATAAAACATTGAGTAGTTTTAGGATTCTAGGTGCTAAGTAGGCATTCTGTTTAGGGTTGTTTTTGGGAATTTGTTTATTGCTTCAGAATAAGTTACCTAATCTTGAGAACGTAATAGTTAACCAAGTTTACCGTCTTCATTATGTCAATCACATTAAATTCGGTATTAGTGGTCCTGTGTATTTGTGATATAGAAGAGCTTTTCAATTTAACTTGTTTTGTAGAAATATATATGGTTATAGGTTAAACGTACATAGTTTTGTTGGTATTCTGGGACAGAGAGGTCTCTAAGGATGAATTTATTTGTGGTTCAAAAACTGATTAAGACTTAAATAAAACAATTCTACATAATGAAATGGGAAAGTGACTTAGCTACTGTTTTCTTTTGTTTGATTTTATAAAAAGCTTACAAAGAAGCAGCTATCTTAATTTTGCTTCTTAAATCATGTTGTGGCATAATTTGGACTAAAAAAATAGATTGCCAGTAAATCAGATTTTATTCCATTGCCTGTTTATTACATTCTATTCGTTTGAAATTGAGAAGCCATAGCTTCAAAATGACAGCTTTTGAGGGTGAGTTTTAATGTGAAAGTACATTTGTACTTGATTTTTTTGTTGTTGTTTAAATTAGGAATGGAGTTGAAACTTAGTTACAGTTCTTTTTACCTCAGCTGATGGTGCATTCTTTGCCACCCCCACCCACCCCCCAAAAAGTTTCAGCCTATTATTACTCTTTCTTTTTCTTCAGAAAGATGGAGTCGCTTAGTCTGTTAGCATGTATTCATTTGGGTGGGTTTGTTCAGATGTGTTTGGACTTCCTGTCTACCTTTATTGTCTCCTAACAGTCCAATATTATTTTTCAGGCTTTTCTAGAGCTGAAGTTTTTGTTTGTTTGCTTGATTTAGCATTTTGATTTGGGGCCTCCTTGAAAAGGAGCCAAATATCTATTTGTTCTAAGCAAGTTTATTTTTGAGAACTACCGGCAGTTTGTGTGTATGTGTGTAAGTTGAAGTATTTAATCCATAAACTTAGTTTCAGTATAAAGTGTGTGAATCTGAAGCAGACCTGTGACTTAATAACCAAGTTGTTTTCTGGTTTTGTTTTTCCTCAAAACAGGAAGGGGATGATTATGAAGTCGTGCCTAATAGTAACTTCTATGTATCTAGAACGGCCTACAGAGATAATACTTCTGTCTATCACATTAGTGGGAAGAAAAAAACATTTAAGGATGTTGGAAATCTTCTTCGAAGCCATGGAATTGACTTGGACCATAATAGATTTCTAATCTTACAGGTAAGTTCAGAATAGACTTGAGAGAGATTGTCTTTTTGCTTTGTTGTTTTGTTATGGAAGAAGCTGGAGGGCAGCCCTGTTGGTGGATCCTGCATTCTTGAGACCTTAAAGTACTATAGCAGCACATCATGGTTTACATACTATAGTCAAAATGCGAATCATTATTTGCTGCTCTAGAAATTTAAGGAAACTCATTCAAAACTATTACTTTCATTCTCACATGTGTGTTTTATATTTTGATGCACTGATGTACTTGTTCCACTCTAGCAGCACGTAAATATTGGCGTGGTGACATAAGTATGAAACACCAATATTACTGTGCTGCTTTAGTGTGACAGGGATACCGCAACTGTCACCCAAGTCTGTGTCTCCCTCTAAGATAATATTTTCAGTGAGATTTATAGCCTTTTAATAGACTATCCTTTTTTTTTAAGCACTTATCAAATTTAATCTTTCAGCACTCAAGTTTAACACTAGGTTGCTTACGTTTCCTCAGATTGGTTTTTGTTTTGTTTAAAATGGCCTACTTATTGAACATTCACTACTGTTGTTAGATCAGAATGTAACTTGATAGTTACGTTCTTATCACAACTCTTATACAACAAAAGTCTTTTATTAAGTGCTTAGAATCAGGTGCTTTTAATTAGAAATTATTTTTGTAAATAAAAGTATATCCTACCAGAATAGATTGATACTTTTCTTCCCTGAGTCTTTATCTTCCAAAAAAAATAGTTTTGAGTGTAAAATCTTGGCTTTGTTGAGTGTTTTTAAATTCCTGTTTGATTTAAGGACATCTTACTCTCATGTGCTATCTAGAATCACTGGAAGCATAGTAAGAAAAATATTATTTTCATAAAGCAGAAATGACTGGATTACCTGGAGGATCTTGTGTCACTGGTTTTAAAACAAGTTGGAGATCTGGATACTAAATGTCTTGTTGGAACGTCTGGGTGATTCCAAACTCCTCAAACATTCTAGTCTATTCTTGTTATCTTTTAAAATACTTGTTACATTGATAGTATACAAGGCAAATCAACATTCTGGAATAATTTTTAGTTTAATACACTTTATTAGCAGGTACATTAACAGTACTTCTTTGACCCAAACTTAATTTTAAATGACTGTTGGGAAGTCAGTTGCAGGTATATTTCTAAATAAGATTTGAACTAATGTAAATGTACACTTAAAGCAAAGCATTATAGGTAGAGTGTTTGTTTTAATCAAGCTTTGTAGGCTTCTTGGAATTAGATTTTTTGGAAATTTAAAAATGTGTCCCTTTATAATTTAATTATGCTAAGGTTTTGCAGGAGAGTGTAGTCATATTTTACTTTTTGTTCTTTGCTATTTCTTTACTGTCATCCTGGGGTGATCAGTTTTATGTCTCTGCAAAAATTCATCAAAAGCAAGTAGACTGCATTTAAACTCTTCTAAAGATTTTTTTCCCTTTCTATAAAGCTTCTATATACATAGTTCAATAATACAGGAAGCTAAAAACACACTAATTTCCCAAACAAGTAAATAAAAATAGTTTATAAATTGGGAGTTTATATGCTTCTGAAGTACATAGTGTCTAAACCATTTGGGGGGGGGTCAGTCATGGGGCTTGAACTCTGGGCTTGGGTGCTGTCCCTGCGCTCTTCAGCTCAAGGCAAGCACTCTACCGCTTGAGCCACAGCACCACTTCCGGTTTTCTAGTGGTTTTATTGGAGATGAGTCTCACGGACTTTCTTGCCCGGGCTGGCTTTGAACCGTGATCCTCAGATCTCAGCCTCCTGAGTGGCTAGGATTACAGGCGCCCGGCTTGTCTAAACCTTTTGACCTAATGATAGAAAGCACAGACAGAGCCTTTTCTGTGCTCTGAATAAAAATGCTCAAATAATACTAGAGTAAAACTTCAGTTGAAAGGTGCAGTTTGGATAAGAGCCTTAACTCAATTATAACAAAGAAGCAGAACTAGAATAGATATAACTAAAGGTACAGTTATATCAACATTTAAGAAAGCTGAATTCAACACAGGAGCTGTGTAGTAGTGTTTCGTGTCCTAAGGAATCTAAATGTAAAAATAAAATTTTACTTTTAAAATTAAAAATCGTTTAATTTTAGAATTCCACAGGAGTAAAATTTTCATAGTCCTTACATATCGGTTTCATAAGTTTTCCAAGTAAGCATTTCTAGTATTTGGATCCATTTTAAACTTTGATTAACCACTCAAGTGAGACACTATGCTAAGAGTTGGTAATTAATATAAAAATGGCTTATAAAAGTATAACTTTTAAAAAATTAGACAATTCAAGGTAGAAGGTATGGACATAAATAAATCTTTACAATTTTATAATCAATGAAATTCATTATTTTGTATAATTCAGATATCTTGATAAAATGGGCAACTTTTTGAGCAAATGATAGTGTAACTTTAGAAAAAAGTTAAACATGATTCTTAAAAGCATTAGGTTATGGTTGACCTGTTATTTCCCTAGAGGAAAGTTTTATATATATATATATATTTTTTTTTTTTTTTCCTCTTCACATGTAGTGTGCCTTCCTGGAACCCTCTGTCCCATGAATAACTATTTGGCCTAAACAACTAGAGCTTATTTGTTTTGTATTTCTGACAATAACTTAGTATATTTAATTGGTTTTGCTTCATTGGTTAATGTATCTGCCCTATGCGAGGGTAAAGTTTATTTCACTTCAAAGTTGCATTAATGATCTGTCTCCAGAATGTTTTTCTAAAGTCCTTAAGACCTACAACTAGTAGTATAACTTTAATTTTGACAATTTTCAGCTTTATGTGCTTTTTATTTTTGGTGGTACTGGGATTTGAACTCAGGCTTAGCAGGTACTTTTATCACTTCACTCATGCCCCCAGCCCGTTTTTTTGCTTTAGTCTTTTTTCTGGTAGGGTTCAAATTTTTGCCTCGCCTGCCGTAGACCATAATTATACAAGTGCCTCCTGTGTAGCTGGGATTACAGGCATGTGTTATGATACCTCATCCAACTTGATGTCTTTGTACTACAAAATCTGAGTTAAAATCAGAGCATGTGGTTCATGCCTGTAATCGCAGCATTCAGACAGTGGAGATGGGAAGATGTCAAATTCTGAACCAATCTGAAGTACTTACATAATGAGACTATCTCATAAATAAGTTTAATTTTTTTAATCTATGTTAAAGTTCATAAGAAAGGCTAAGTTCTTTTGTTGTTTTTTACTTTGGATGGTGGATTGTCATAGATTAGAATTATAGCCTCTGTATCGTCAGTTATGATTCTACAGTAAACAATTTGGGTTCTGGTTTCTTCATAGAAGTCTGTAGCTGTTAACATTAAAACACCCTTAGCCTTAATCAGTAATACACCCCAATACCTCAGCTATTGGGATTGCAGAGATATAAACAGGTAGTTTCTCCCTAGCAACCAAAATAGGTATGAATACTGTTAGAGCAGAATAGAATGTTCAAGCCCATGCGTGGAAGTAGAGCTCAGTGAAAGTCTAGTCATTCTGGGCTGTTGAATTTTGATGTGCAGATGTGTATTTATCTTGATATGGTCGTACTAAGAAAAAGTGCTTTATTATAGCTGTATACTGTTTGGTTTTGTATAGTTTATCCTTGCTAGCAATTTGAGCTTAATTTTTATGGTAAATACAGGAATAAGTTAAGACTTAAGATCTTGTTGTACTTTGAGATTTTGTTTTGCTGTTAGTTTTTAGTAATCTGGGGGTGGGAGCTAGAGCCTCACCTGCTAGGAAGCTTTCTACCACACATTTCATACCCAGCCCAACCCCTCAAGTCAGGAGTAACAGCTGGTGAGGAGGGGCCTCATTTAGTATGCTTTAATCTATAGAGGGTAGAGAAAACTGAATGCCTTTTCACCAACCTCAGGTCCTGTATAACGGCTTAACAGGTTTTATATGTGGTTGTTCCAACAAATGCTATTTGTAACTGGGAACCTTGGCAGATTATGTCATTGCCCTAACTGAAAACAATTTATATTCCACATGGTGTGGATATGTTTTCTGAAAAATATATAGTCTGTTGTGAACAGGCTGTCATCCCACAAATGCCATCACAAAATAGAATAAGGATTAAGGAGTTAGCTATTCCTAGTGAGTGCTAGGACATAGAGGACAAGAAGGACAGAACCATAAGAGAAGTTGGTGGTCAGCATCTCAAAACCACAGCAGTCCTGACAGTAAATATAAGTTAACACCCAGTTCACACCCTGTGGCTTCAGTGTGCTAAGCCAATAATACAGTTAAAATCTAAAATCAAATGTTGTGAGGGGTTTGAGGTGGGACTATTGCAATTTATCAATGAGCTTTTCTTTAAAATGTAAAAAAACGGAGCAGCCTTACTAAAGAGTAAAAAAGTCAGCTTTACATCCTTTATCTTATTTGGAAAAGGAAAAAAAATAACCAAAATAAGCTTTCTCCTAACATAACCAAAATATGCTTTCTCCTAAGACTGGGTGCTTCCTAATAGCTTTACTCCCTCCCTTTCCTTCATTTTTCTGGTTATAGTGTGTGGTGGTGTTAGGAAGGTATTTTTCTGTGCAATCTATTCCATTTATACACTCATACATAATATACTGAATGTTATATAGAATAAATGGATTAACAACTTCACTATACTTGGCAGGGTACTGCAATGATGAGATATAAAAAGTTTAAAATGTTTCTGTCAGAGTCCTTTTTCTTTTAGTTCACTTACATTAGTTCTGTGAAGGGGTGATTTAATTGTTACATTAACACAATTTTTACAACTGTTAAGTCAGTTTTGCCCTCACTGGCCTGCCCTCTTTCCCTTTCCCAAACAATGTCAGCAACCTCCTTGCAGTGATTAAACCAAAAAATGAGCTGTATTGTATTGTTCTATATTGTACCTTGAATTTCTTTTTACTTGATACTGTTATATTCAAGCTTTCTTTAAAATTGTGACAGACACTTGGTTATTAAGTTTTGCTCCAAATATTTAAGTTCAGGTCATAGACACTTAGCAGTTTGGGTGGAAGTAAGAGATTTTCCACCCTGCCTGCCCATTCAATTCCAGCATGTAGAATATGCAACAAGCAGACTACTTTAGCAAAGGATAAGCTGTATTTTGCCTGAACATGTTCAGACAGTTGTTTCCTCTGTCAAACCAAATGATTGCCCTGGCAGTCTGCCTTACAGTTAACCTGATAATATATGCTTCTTTTTTGTCTTTGTAAACAAAATGAAGACATAAAAATATATTAAGTTGATCTAAGTTTCAATTATAGTTTAAAATTGCTAGATGGACTGCAAACACAAGGTTGGTGTCATATGCCAGTACAGAGTTTTCTGTGGTCAGGTGATCAGTTGGATTTCTTTCATTATTTCTATTTGAAATAGAGGACTTCCTTTTCCACCTAAGACTTGTGTTTTGTTCTGTTTTGTTTTTGTTGAGGGGTTTAAACTCAGGGCCTGGTCTGCTGGCTCTCTACCACTTTGAGCCACAGGTCTACTTCTGGTTTTTGAGTGAGTGATTAATTGGAGATAAGTGTCTTATGGCTTCAAACCACTATTCTCAGATCTCCAGCTCCTGAGTAGCTAGGATTACTGTCGTGAGCCATTTAACTAAGTATTGATATGATCAGCAATTTGTATAGTAGCAGCATTACCAAATATTAGTAACATAATCGTAAAAATATTTTCAGGAGGACCTTTCATGGTAAAACTGTTTAAGGAATCTGAATCTGAATTGTAGTTCAAAGCCAGCCCAGGCAGAAGAGGCCCTGTGAGACTCTTATCTTCAATTAACCACTCAAAACCAGAAGTGGTGCTATGGCTCAAGTGGTAGAGTCCTAGCCTTGAGCACATAGAGGCTCAGGGACAGTGCCTAAGGCCTTGAGTTCAAGCCCCAAAACCAACGAGAAAAGGAAAGTTAAACTTTACTTGCTTATTCCTTTTGCCTTTATGTGTATTTACGAGTAGACATTGTAATCTTGTAAGAATTTAAGGGAATAAAAATATACATTCCTTATATAAAAGCTATTTGATGAACATAAGTTATTTGTTGCTGTTGGTTAATTAACTGCCCTGATTCTCCCCTAAGACTAAGCTAAACATATACAGTGAATATGGAATATTACTTTTTTTAAAGGGTGAAGTTGAACAGATTGCTATGATGAAACCAAAAGGCCAGACTGAACATGATGAGGGTATGCTTGAGTACTTAGAAGACATAATTGGCTGTGGTCGGCTGAATGAACCTATTAGAGTCTTGTGTCGGAGAGTTGAAGTACTGAACGAACACAGAGGAGAGAAGGTGGAATTGTTTGTTTTTTAAATCTATTGTTGGCATGCTTTATACATAGAAAATATTTTAAAATTTTATTTTCTGTTTTAGCTAAACAGAGTTAAAATGGTAGAAAAAGAAAAGGATGCCTTAGAAGGAGAGAAGAACATGGCCATTGAGTTTCTGACCTTAGAAAATGAAATATTTAAAAAAAAGAATCATGTTTGTCAATACTACATGTAAGTAACTTTAATTAGTGTTTTAACCAGTAAAAGTAGTTTTTGCTGTACTAGAGTAAAAGTTTGTTAGTTATTTGAAGTAATAAATTCATTAAATTAGGGATTATTTCAATAAGATCATGTACTTTTTGGTATTATACTTTGAGAGACACCTTTGTAAAAATTTATTATTCCTGATTGGTTATTAATACTTCTATACAGTAATCTCCTCAGACCAAGGAAAAAACCCTCTCCTGTGGGTCCCTAAAACCTTAGAGAAGGCCAATCCCAAGTGTGTGTAGTTCCTCCATCATAGGTCTTGTCCCTGGTGCTTCACCACTATCAGGACCCTAATACCTTTCGGTGGAGACCCATAACCACGGTGCCACAGAGTGACTTGTTGAGGTAGGGGTCTGGTACAGTTATGCACTCCCAGTATGCAAACAGCAGGCAATTTCAAGTGAATGGGTTATTTTTAGAATTTACCATTGAATAATTTCTAGATGGTGATCTATCGTAGATAGTACATTATATATTGAAATGAAAAATTACTTTGGGAACAGCTGATTTTTACTAAAACAGTTGCACAATTTTAGAAACAGTGTTCTAGAGTCTCCTTTTTTCCTCTTTCTCTAGTTATGACCTGCAGAAACGAATTGCTGAAATGGAAACTCAAAAGGAAAAAATTTATGAAGAGACCAAAGAAATCAATGAGAAGAGTAATAGACTGTCAGATGAAATGAAAGCTAAGAATAAAGATGTTAAAGATGTAGAGAAGTAGGTATTTTGGAAAGTATTTAGATTGTTAATTCTATTGCAGTGTGTATACTTACTACTAGGTCATAGTTAGGATACTTCATAGTTAGGATACTTTTGCCAGAAAGCATTTATCTTCTTTTCTCAAAAAACAAAAAACTGGCTCATGCCTGTAATCCCACCAACTCTCTGGAGGCTGCGACTGAGGATCATAGTTCAAAGCCAGCCTGGGCAGGAAGGTCTAGGTGGTTTTTTATTTTGTTTGTTGGTGTTGGTCGCCGGGCTTGAACTCAGCAGCCTGGGTGCTGTTTCTGAGCTCTCTTGCTCAAGGCTAGCACTCTTACCACTTTTGAGCCACAGATCCACTTCTGGTTTTCTGGTGGTTAATTGAAGATGAGACTTACAGACTTTCCTGCCTGGACTGGCTTTCATCTTTGACTTAAGATTTCAGCCTCTTGAGTAGCTAGAGTTACAGGTGTGAGCCGTTGACACCCAGCTTCCATAAGACTCTTAACGCCGATTAACCACCAGAAAACTGGAAGTGGCTCAGAGTGGTAGAGTGCCAGCTCAGGAACAGCTCTCAGGCCATTTCAAGCCCCACATCAAAAAAGAACCATTGCCCTATATCCAGTTTATTACAGATTAAGTGGCTAATTCAGGCCTTAAATACTGTAGTAGGAAATTGTCACCCCCTAGTGGCAATACAGGTACAAAACCAAAAATGTTCCGTAGATGAATTATTTCCTCCCCTCCTCTTCTCCCCACTGGTCCTGCAGGCCTGCAGTCCTGAGGCTTAAACTTGGGGCCTTGGTACTGTCCCTAAGTTTCTGAGGTTTTGGATATAAGAATCTCACAGCCTTTCCTGCCTGGGCTAGCTTCGAACCATAATCATCTCAGTACCAAATAAAAACTTAAAAGTAAAGTTCATAGAGGTAGATTTGGGTTTATTCTAATTAGATTTCTTTTAAATTTTAATTTGACCCTACTCTGCCACTGTTCAATGACACCAGTATCTCTTTGTAAGTTTCATTTTAATTTTGATGCAGCTTGCAATCACAATTACTAGAAAATGTCAAATATTTCCTTCCCTGAGAAAGCAAATCAATTTTGTCATAGTAAACATGTTCGTGTCTGTGCCTATGGGGAGATCAGCTTGGAGATAGAAATGTTTAGGATCCTGTGTAAAACTTTGAGCATATTTATACTGGAAAGGGTCTATAGTATGGCTTTGAATAAATATCCAAAATAATGACTAATGATTTACTTGCTTTACTAGGAAACTGAATAAAATCACAAAATTTATCGAGGAGAATAAAGAAAAATATAAACAATTAGATTTGGAAGATGTTCAAGTTAGAGAGAAATTGCAACATGCTAAAATTAAAGCTAAAAAACTAGAGAAACAACTTCAGAAAGATAAAGAAAAGGTAGGTGGGAGGGGAATCAGAAAATTTCTTATCTGCATATCAAATCTTTATTGTGTCCACAAGTGTGTTTGTCCTGTTGCCGAAGAGAATGGTGAATTATCACGTCTGTGAATGATAAATAGATCTTGAGAGAATGATTCATGATTGTGGATACTGAATGGTTTATTATTGAATGTTATTTTATCCTCTTAAGGGATCCTTGTACACATTGACTTAATCAGTGGCTGTCTTGGTGGTGATGATAGTTTTCCCTTTTAGTATAGTGTTTGGAAAAAGGGATTATAGCAAAAATAAGGAAGCTCATAATTTACAATGTTGAGTTATCTGTTCTGTAGTTAAAGGAAAATGAAATTTGGGCTTTAATATAGAAAAACCCTAGCTAGTATGACTAGAGCCAGAATCAAGTAACCTGGGGGTACCATGTTTGCAATTCTATCCATACATAGGTAGGACACCAGAATCACAGCCTCCTTAGAACATTTTCTTCCCCTAGTGACATGACAGTTGCAGGTGAAGCATTACCATGTGTTCATGGAAACACTTCGTATTCAAAATGCTAACAAAGTTCTGTGAAGATTGTCTTTTCTAGGACTGGTCTATCAGTATCTAGGAGCAACCCCTAAACTGCATAGCCAGGTCAAGTGCTGTGATAGTACTTGAGTAATTGATTGGTCCAGAAGGTACTAATGGGATAAAACAATAGCTGTGTCTAGTGACCAGAAGTGGTAGGATTGGAATGGGGAAGAATAACTATAATTCATGTAATACATGGTAAACAATTTATCAGGAAATTGCATGTGTATAGAGTGCATTTATTATGGAAGAAGGATATGTAGCTTGAAATCAGGAGAGACAAGATGCCTACCTAAAAGCCCTTCTCTGAACTTTTTTTTTCATAAGTTACTGGCTTTTACTGTGACTGAGAATACAGAAGTCACAAGCAAATGGGAAAATACTTACTAAAGCCAGTTCAGATCTAATTGAGAAGTATACTGGAAAACTGAGTACCAGTGGCTCACTCCCATAATCGTAGCTACTTAGGAGGCTGATATCTGAGGATCACAGTTCAAAGGCAGCTCAGGCAGGAAAAGTCTAACCACTAGAAAACCAGAAGTGGCTCTAGCCTTTCACAAAAGTACTGGAGATTGATGCCAGGGCCTTCCTTACACATGCCGTCTGCCATTGAGGCACACCGCAAACCAAGCAATTTTTTAACATCTCTTTATTTGCATACGTTTGCTATAAAAGAGTAGACTTCATGTGACATTTTCTCAGATATACACAAATCTCTGTGGGGGGGAAGGGGGTACCTGTGCGCGTGCACTGATACTAGACCTTGAACTCAGGACTCACATGCTTGCTCAAGCTTTTTCTTTCATAGGACTCTACCATTTGAACCACATGTCTACTTCCTCAAGGAGTCATTTTTAAATGATCAAGCTTTGATAATATTGTGTGGCCTAAAAAACATGTATCCCTGTGAACATTAGTTTGTCTTATAATCTCAGGCTGAAGAATTTAAAAATCTGCCTGTCAAGAGTAAGAATATCATAACTGAGGCAACAGCCAGAAGCAATTCCCTTGAGAAGGAAAAGGAGAAAGAAGAAAAAAAGTTGAAGGAAGTTATGGACAGCCTAAAACAGGAAACTCAAGGGCTTCAGAATGAAAAAGAAGTAAGATTCTTTTATTACTGTTGATTTGGATGGTTAGATTTTAATTTGGAGATTTGGGAGTAGTGCTCCTGGAGCTTGGGGGCCTGGGTACTATTCTTAAACTCTACTTCTGGGGGTTTGGTGGTTAGTTGGAGACAAAAGTCTCATAGACTTCCATGCCATATCTGGTTTTGAAATGCAGTCCTCAGATCTCAGTCTTGAGTAGCTAGGATCACACTACTAGCACCCAGTTGAAGACTGGTTAAGCCAGATGTGGGAAATGTCTGTACTATAATCCCAGCTTCTTGAGAAGCTAAGGCAGGAGGATTCAAAGGTCAAGGCCAGCCTGGCTATGGTAAGACCCTTACATAGCCTTTTGATATCAGATTTTCGGTCTACACTTTCCCCCATTTATTTTCTATTTTCCCATTTTTAAAAAGTTAACAGAATTAGTCACAGCAGAAGTATCAAATACTTTGTCATATAGCTATTATTAAGCTTACAGAAGCATCCCATTTTCCTTTCATCTTCTGAGTTATTCCTTACTAACTAATGTGGCCACCTTTAAAACACAAGGACTTACCAAGCACAGGGTGACATGGTTCGTGTGTTCAGTTAAGAGTTGTAGTTCTTACAGCGGTGATGTGGCTGGGAAGGTGGCTCAGTGGGGTAGAGTGCTTGCCTTGCATGCATGAGACCCTGGGTTCGATTCCTCAGCACCACATAAGCAGGAAAAAAAAGCCGGAAGTGGTGCTGTGGCTCGAGTGGTAGAGCACTAGCCTTGAGCTGAAGAGCTGAGGGAGCGCCCAGGCCCAGAGTTCAGGCCCCACGACCGGACCCAAAAAAAAAGTCTTACAGCGGTGATGGGGTCACTTCATTGTTCTTGTGCAGGATTCAGGTGTCAAGTCATCTTCCTCGAGATGAGGAAACAGAACATGCTTTATGTAAGCACAAAGCAAATAGAAATGATATAATTGACTGCATAAAGAGCCACTGGGGCTGCTGGCGTAAGTCGATTCTGCTTTGGAATATGATGTGTCCTGAGGCTGCAGGACCAAAGTAGAGCCTGTGTGATAAGGGGAGGTACATGGTGAGGTAAATCTGTCATTCCATCACAAATGATAGAGTTATAGAGAGCCGCCACATTAACTTAGTAACATACAAGTGCACAGTCACTTATCAGCATACTCAAAACTTCTGAGTGGTTCTTATACCTGCTAATGTGGGAAGAGGCTGAATTATAAACTTTAGACCCAATTAGTCCTCTGGCTTAAAATGTCCATAAATGAGCATGCTAAGATCTGCTTCACCAGGTTCTTGTGGCATCAGAGAACAATGACAGCTAGATGTAAACTAAGTTAACCTCTATTTGTAAGGATTATTTCTGTGGTGGTAGCATCTTACTAAATTGATTTCAAAACTACATATAAGCTGGGCACCGGTGGCTCATACCTGTAATCCTAGCTACCCAGGAGGCTGACATCTGAGGATCACAGTTCAAAGCCAGCCAGGGCAGGAACGTCTGTGAGTCTCTTATCTCCAATAAGCCACTAGAAAACCCGGAAGTGGTGCTGTGGCTCAAGCAGTAGAGGGTATGGCCTTGAGCTGAAGAGCTGAGGGACAACACCCAGGCCCAGAGTTCAAGCCCCATGACCAACAAAAAACAAAATCTCTATGGTACTCATTCTACTTTAGGTTTAAAAGTGAATATATTTCAGATTTAATGTATTTCTATTTTAACAGAGTCGAGAAAAAGAACTTATGGGTTTCAATAAATCAGTTAATGAAGCACGTTCAAAGATGGATGTGGCCCAGTCAGAACTTGATATCTATCTCAGCCGTCATAACACTGCAGTGTCTCAACTAAATAAGGCGAAAGAAGCCTTGGTTACAGCTTCTGAAACTCTGAAAGAAAGGAAAACTGCCATCAAAGATATAGAGGCCAAGCTCCCTCAAACTGAACGGGAATTAAAGGAGGTAAAACTTTGTTTTCATATTTCATATTAGTGCCTACAGTGAAGAGCATGTAGATGTATAATTTCAGAAAAACAGGGTCAGCATCTTATTACTTCAAGTGCTATGTATTAAGAAACTAGCTGGGCTGTGTACTGGTGGCTCATACTGTAATCCTAGCTACTAAGGAGGCTGAGATCTAAGGATCATAGGTCAAAGCCATCCCAGGCAGGAAAGTCCATGAGACTTTTACCTCCAGTGAAACTCCAGAAAACTACAAGTGGAACTACAGCTCAAAGTGGTAGAGTATTGGTCTTGAGCAAAAAAAAGCTCAGAGATAGTACCCAGGCCCTGAGTTCAAGCTCTAGGACCAACATAAAAGTCAGAAAGAACAAACCTGGGCTAGTGGTATTGCTCTGTTTTGTTGGTGGTGGTGGTGTTTAGATTTCATTTTTTTTATCGGGCAGAAAGCATAGCATAACCATATTAAGTCCCAATCACCCATAACTGGGATCCAGCTCCCCAGTCTGCTTTAATAAAGGCAAAACTTGAAACTTGGGACATGCTCGTGCATACATGGTGCCACAGTACTTTCCTTAGTCAGAGTCCAGGGAGATGCTCTTGGAACCATAGTGCTCTTTGTCCTTATGTTAGCCCTGAACAAGCAAGAGACCCATGCAGCGGTGTCTTCAAAGCCAGACCCAAATTGTCATGTGTAAGCTTAGTTCCCATGTGTCTTCATTACTAAGGCATTGTGATGACTTCTGTGCAATGACTGGGCATAGTTAGGATTTAATGCCTTTGAGCTCATGCTCTTTATTTTCCACTTCCAGAAAGAAAAAGAATTCCAAAAACTTACACAAGAAGAAAAAAACTTGAAGAGTTTGGTTCATGATCTTTTTCAAAAGGTTGAAGAAGCAAAGAGTTCCTTAGCAATGAATCGAAGTAGGGGGAAAGTCCTTGATGCAGTCATTCAAGAAAAAAAATCTGGCAGGATTCCAGGAATTTATGGAAGATTGGTAATATAAATTTATTTGGGAATGACTACACTTTTCTCAAAAAAGACATGTAAATTATAATCTTATCCTCTTGATTATATAATATGGGACACTAATTTTCAAACATTTTGTATTTCAATTAGTTTTGAACAATTTGCAATCATTTTGTGCATAGCCCAAAAAATATTAACTATGGAAAGTTGATAAGTAAACTTAACTCTTTTTTATGGGCATTATTAAGGAATTGTATAGAAGGGTTATATTCTGTAAGTCAGGTAAAGCTTCTCTCCCTTCTCTGTCCTAAGTTGCATAGTTCATTTCTGACATAGTACATACTGAATACCATGACTGCATTTGCCCACCCTCCTCCCATTCCCCTGCCTCTCTTTTGCTCACCCCCAAAAAAGATAAAAACAACAATAAAAAAAAAAACACCCAACAGTAACAGCAACAAAGAGAAACTGTTTCTACTGGAATTCTTTCTGATAAATAATATTGTAGATGTTTAGAGAAATTAAGCTTTTGGGTTCCTCCCCTAAGAGTATCTTCCTTTAGTCTGTTTATTGTTTGCTTCATGTGTAGATGCATAGAGCCCTGTATAAGTTATCTTGTCCAGATATATTTTAGATCTAGCTACCGCAAATGAGACAGAAGAAGTGTTCTATTTGTCTCTGAGCTTGAGTTCCCTCCAAAAAAAATAACTGTAGTATTAGAAATTAACTATAGCCTCTTCCCCTGCGCCCCCCAAACCCCAGTAACTAATAGTAGTTGACAAACTTAACAAAACTCACAATAATTAAAATTTGCTAGATGCCAGTCACTCTGCCTATAATCCCAACTACCCAGGAGGCAGAGCTAAAAAGGCCACAGTTTGAAGGCAGGCTGGACAAAACACTTCCAAGATCCCATCTCACCCAATAAGTAGTCATGATTATACCAGCCTGTCATTATAGCTTCTTCAGAAAAATAAATAGAAAGATCTTGGTCCTGCCTGCCCCAAGTATAAACACTAAACCTTATCCCAAAAATAAAGAAAAGGGCTTTGTGTATGGCTCAGGTGAGGTGTACTTCTCTCTCAGGTGAGGTCCTAAGTAAAATAACCAGTAGCACCTAAATACATTTTTTATTAAGTGGTTGATTGATAGATATTTGGTGTTCTAGGTTTTAATAACGTACTTTGGAGTTACAGTTATGGTTTAGGGAAATCAACACGTCATTAACTAGTAATAGTGGGTACTGTTAGGGCTCCTGAGCCTCAAAAAGGAAAGGACCCTACGCCTGCAGGAGGTGGGAAATCAGTACCTCAACCCTATTCATCTCCTGCCCCGAGGCTCAGTAAAGCTAGAGTCAAAGGAGCCAGTTCATGCAGTCCCTAGGTCACACAAAGATGGAAACAGCTGGACTAATAGGTGTAAGTTAGCTTCTGTCTCTAGTATCAGTGACTTCCACATTTTTTTCTTGAAGTCAAATAATGTGGCTCTATTTTTTGATCTCAAGGAAAACTAAAGTCATTCAACCAGTGCTGCTACATAGCTTAGTAATAGATGACTTCAGTAATTGAAAGTTCTGCAAGTCATTTGTTTATAATTGTTAGGTTTCAGTCTGGGAAGGTGGATCAGTGGTAGAGCGCTTACCTTGCATGCCTGAGGCCCTGGATTCAATTCCTCAGCACCACGTAAGAAAAAAGCCAGAAGTGGTGCTATGGCTCAAATGGTAGAGCACTAGCCTTGAGCTGAAGAGCAGAAGGACAGCGCCCAGGCCCAGAGTTCAAGCCCCATGACTAAACCAAAAAAAATTTTTTTAATTGTTAGGTCTCATATCTACTTTGTATGTTTTCATGAAATGAGAGTTTTTTTTTTGTTTTGTGCTCATGAAAATTTCAGATGAGCTACATGTCGGGCTGGACATAAGTGTTCGTGGTAGAGAGCTGTGCAGTGAGCCTGGGCCTGGGTTCCGACCGGATCCCTGCAGGAAGGGAAGGTTGCCAAGAGAGGAGCACCAAGATTTTCTCTGTGTGCCCTGTTGTTTTTTTTCTTGTTTTGGTTTTTATGGTTTGATACAGGGGCTTGCAAGGTTACTTGACCCTGCCTCGGTCTCCTGAGTGCTAGGTACAGATGTGTGCTATACCTAGCCTGGTATCTTCATTAACAATGGATGTTTTTAGTTTTTCAATTAAAATTAACATTGAAAATCTGACTTGTAAAGAAATGGGTCCTGTGCTTTTACATAATTCTTTTCTAATTACAGATTTTTTGTGTGTGTGTCACTTCTTAAGGGGGATTTAGGAGCCATTGATGAAAAATATGATATTGCCATTTCATCGTGTTGTCATGCCTTAGACTACATCGTTGTTGATTCTATCGATACAGCCCAAGAATGTGTGAACTTCCTGAAGAGACATAACATTGGAGTTGCCACCTTCATAGGTCTAGATAAGGTGGGTATTCATAATGAGCTGCCTGCATTGAACTGAAGCTAGCTGCTTTTTAAAACCCCATTGAATTCAAACTTCTCTACACTAAGTGAACCATGACAGGTCTTCAGAATTGTGTCAGGTTCTGGTTTACATGGTTATAGAAAAACCAAGAACTTGCTATGCCTCAGCTAAAAGACCCAGTGTTAGAATGTTTTCCGGTGTGTGACCAGAACTTGTTTATCCGTAACCAGTTTTTCTTAATAAAGCTTTCATTCATAGTAAAGGTAGCTCTGATTATGTATCAGTAATTCACTAAAGTATGAAGTTCGGTTGATTTCAGTGTAGTCAGGGGAGTTTTCAGTTGTGGCCATTGTCCTGTTGCAGAATATTTCCTTCAAATAGGCAATATAAGTGAGCCACCTGACCCCAGTCTCACACCCACCCCCTTACAACCACTGACCTGCCTTTGGTCTTTTAGCTTTATGCATTCTAGAACTAGCTACACTCATGTATATAGCTGGCTTTCATGTTCATCTACTTGGTGGCATATGTCTGACCTTCATCCCTTTTCATTGCCACAAGTATCTTATTCTGAATTGTGTGTACCACACATATTTTGTTTGCCATCTGTTGATGTACATTTGGACTGTTTCTGCTTGGGATTGTTTTCACAGTACTACTAATATTGGTGTGTATAGTTTTGTGTGAACATGAATTAATTTGAAGTTCTCTAGGTATCTGGACACAGGAATAGCACCAATGGGTCAGGTTTCCTTCTTTAACTGTTTTCCACAGTGACTACTATTTCCTACTTGCATGAATAAGGTTTCCAGTTTCTTCACACCATTTACAGGATTTGGTATTATACAGTCTTAATATGTTTTCTGTGTGTGCTGCCACTGGAGCTTGAACTCAAGGCCTGAACACTGTCCCTTAGTTTTTTGCTTAAGGCTAACAGTACCACTTGAGCCTTAACTTCACTACTATTGCCATTTTCATGGTTAATAGGAGATAAAGATCGAACTTTCTGCCTGTTTCAGCTGGCTTTGAACCATGATCCTGGCATCTCTGTCTCTTAAATATAGCTGATACAGGTATAAAGCACCTGTGCCCAGCTACACGGTCTTATCTTAATAAATGCAAAATGACATGTGATTGTGCCTTCATTTGCATGTTCCTGTTACTTTGTCTTCTTTGGGAGTTTTTAAATCCTTTGCCATGTTTTTATTGATGATATTGGTAAGTTTTAAAAGTTCTTGACATTCCGTGTACAAATCTCCTGTAAGATTAGAATTGATAAATTCTTTATAAATACTTCCTACTTCTCTTCTTACCATTGTAAGGGATGTATTTTTACTTTGTTAATGGTGGCCTTTGAAACATAGTTGTTGGGGCTGGGAAGGTGGCTCAGTTGTAGAATGCTTGCCTTGCAGGCATGAGGCCCTCCCTCGGTTCAATTCCTCAGCACCACATAAGCAGACAAATCCAGAAGTGGCGCTGTGGCTCAAGTGGTAGAGTGCTAGCCTTGAGCTGAAGAGCTGAGGGATAACACCCAGGCCCAGAGTTCAGGCCCCACAACTGACAAAAAAAAAACACATAGTTTTTAATATTGGTAAGCCCAGTTTCTTGCAAATGTTTTCTAGAGTTTTATTGCTTTCTTTATTTAGACTTGTAGCCCGTTTTGAGTTTTTGTTTTTGTTTTTTTGTCAGTCGTGGGGCTTGAACTCTGGGCTTGGGCGCTGTCCCTCAGCTCTTCAGCTCACGGCGAGCGCTCTACCACTTGAGCTACAGCGCCACTTCTGGTTTTCTGGTGGTTTATTGGAGATAGGAGTCTCACGGTCTCTCCTGCCCGGGCTGGCTTTGAACCGTGATCCTCAGATCTCAGCCTCCTGAGTAGCTAGAATTACAGGCGTGAGCCACCAGCGCCTGGCTCTGTTTTGAGTTAATTTGCGTTCAGATTATTATTTTGTTTAGAAATATAATCTAATAGATTTTTAGTTTCAATTCCTTAGAGTTGATATAAAATGATAGTATTTCCTTTAGCATTATGAAAAGAAATGGTTTTTAACTATATACATGTATTTTTGTTTGTTGGTTGGCTGGTTTGTTTTTAACTTTTAGATGGCAGTGTGGGCAAAAAAGATGACCAAAATTCAAACTCCTGAAAACACCCCTCGGTTATTTGATTTAGTTAAAGTAAATGATGACAAAATCCGCCAAGCTTTTTACTTTGCGTTGCGGGATACCTTGGTAGCTGACAACTTGGATCAAGCTACAAGAGTAGCCTATCAGAAGGACAGACGGTGGAGAGTGGTGACATTACAGGGACAAATCATAGAACAGTCAGGTAAAAAAAAAACAAAAAAAACTTTTCCTGCCGCGAATGTGCTGCATGAATGTACTCTTGCTGGGCAATGCCTCTGAGACCCACCTGACTCCCTGTTCTCTAGGCACAATGACTGGTGGTGGAAGCAAAGTGATGAAGGGGAGAATGGGATTATCACTCGTCCTGGAAATCTCTGAGGAAGAGGTCAGTGCACACACTTTTCCTCCAACTGGGCTTGAACTCAAGGCCTGGGCACTGTCCCTGAGCTGCTTTTGCTCAAGGCTAGCATTCTGCCACTTGAGCCACAGGGCCAGGTTTTTTTGTGTGTGTAAATGGTGTTGAGGAGTCAAACCCAGGGGCTTCATGCATGCTAGGTGAGCACTCTACCACTAAGCTACGTTCCCAGCCTGCTCACACTTATTTTAACATGTCCCAAGATTCAGCCATCTTGAAAGTATACTGTACTGAAAAGATGCCAGATTTGAAATTTAAGGTTGAATTTTTTTTTTCTACATAAGTGACTGATAACTTTTCTCTCTTTGCTGCAAGTTGGAACTTCCTGCCTGGTACTGACTTTCAAGCTTGGCACCCTTCCATTTGAGCCACAATTATATTTCCTAGTAGTAAAAAGTTTATGTTGAGCCTTAGAAAGTATGCTGTAGATGAAAACAGGACAATAGAACCTTTCGAAATTGTTCTAAGCAGCGGGGAGTTAGGCCGGGGGGAGTGAGCGATAGCGGGTGAGGCTGATGGAAGTACCTTGTACATGGGAGAAGAAAAGTCACCATGACAGTGCCACCAGCCCACCCATATTACCAGTAATATGTACTCACAAGACTGACTGGGGCTGGGAGGGAGGGGTACAGTGCAAACCCGAGGATGTTCAGAGTGGGAATGTTTGCCTAGTGTGCATAGGCTCTGGTTTTCAACACCCCAGAAATAGTGTTCAACATAGATTTTTCAGTTACCACATTTAGATATGCATAAGTTTTATAATTCACCAACTAGTCACTTATATTTGACATTTAAGTGGGAATATTGTATTTTTTTTTTCTCTTTGAGAGTATGTCTTTAAGGTAGAAAATGTAGCAAAGACTTCTAGTGCATGGTTCCAAATTTTCTTTTCCAAAACTGGAGGCTAGGGTACAGATAAGTGGTAGAACACTGGCATGTCCTATATACCTTTATCCAAAATATGCCTTGATTTTTTTTTCCCCACATATTTAAGTGAACGCTTGTCTCAATTGAATGATATATGGCTTTATAATAGTTGGTGTTTTGTTTCGTATAGCTAACAGTTGTTTTTCTACACAGAAACTTGTTGACTATCTCCTAAGTTTTAGTACTAAGATTTGAACTGTGTGATTTGGTTTTATCATCTTTGAGAACAGCAGGTTTTCTTTTTGGTGTTGTAATTATTTTGTAGTTTTGGTTTTGCTTTTTGTGTGCATGTGTGTGCATGCCTGTGTGTGATGCTTCGTACATGGGCTGGCCTCCACCCTCCCAAGTGGCTGAGATTATTGCCTGTTCTCACCTTTCAGAAGTTTGGGTGGTCTTTATTCAATCTGAAATGAAGAAAATTTCACTCCTTTTTTTTTTTTTGGTAGGTAAATAAAATGGAATCACAGTTGCAAAAAGATTCTCAAAAAGCAACACAAATCCAAGAACAGAAAGTACAACTTGAAGAAGTCATAATTAAGTTACGGCACAGTGAACGAGAAATGAGGAATACACTAGAAAAGTTTACTGCAAGCATCCAGGTACTGTGTGTGTCTGTGTTATCAGCTGAATTGGGCAGAACCAAGTAAATAAATACAAAGGGTGATTCATTTCCTTGTGCGCTGAAGAGTAACACCCAGCCATTCCTCCCATTTGTGCTCCATAGAATCTGCCCCCACTTAGCAGCTATATTTCTGATCATTTCATTCTCTTCATTGTAGAACGTTTTCTTGATTTTGAAAAGGCAGTGCATGCCCACTATTTAAGCTTTTTTAGAAAATACCCAAATAATCATTGCCTTCTTGGAGTGTGCATTTTTTTTTAAAACTATTCAGTTGCATCTAATATATTTACATACTAGTTTGATCTCGCTTTCTAATGTTTTATCTAGTTTTCCTTACTTAGTAAGTTATGGTTTTCTTCCCAATGTACATTTCCTTAGTTTTGAATTGCTTTAGAGCACTTTTATTTACTTTTTTTGGGGGGGGAGGTCCGGTCATGGGGCCTGAACTCTGGGCCTGGGCGCTGACCCTCAGCTCTTCAGCTCAAAGCTAGCATTCTACCACTTGAGCCACAGCGCCACTTCCGGCTTTTTTCTTTTTGCTATGTGGTGCTGAGGAATCAAACCCAGGGCCTCAGGCATGCAAGGCAAGCGCTCTACCACTGAGCCACCTTCCCAGCCCCACTTTTATTTACTATATTTTTATTTTTCTATTATATGTATGACTAAGTGTCCTTATAGGTACCTTTATATATACGTTTCCTTCAGTTACAAGTATTTCACAGTATTTAGTGATCAGATAATTTGTTGTGTAATGCCAAATTGCTCTCCAAGTGAATTCTAATTCACACACTACTAGCAACAAAAGCAAAAAATGCAAATTCTTGTCAGTGTTTGAACACTAGTAATAAGCACATTGTATGGTTTTATATTCTGAACTGGAGATGGCATTTTGACTTAAGCTCTGTAACAAGCTTACACAGAAATTTGTTCAGTTTTGTATTTGTTTTCTATCCTTTTCCTATAGAAGTTTATCTTTTCTTGAAGTTCTTAAGTACAAAATGTCCAAAGCAAACATAAGTGTTACTAAGTTAAAATGTTGACCTTAAATGCTATTTTTTTTGTAGCGTTTATCGGAACAGGAAGAATATTTGAGTGTCCAAGTTAAGGAACTTGAAGCTAATGTACTTGCTACAGCTCCTGACAAAAAAAAACAGAAACTGCTAGAAGGAAATGTCAGCGCTTTCAAAGCAGGTATGTTTGAAGGTGTATTTTAGGGAGTAGGACTGTAGTGGGGTTTGAACTCAAGGCCCTATACTTCCTTGGCAGGCACTCTACCACTTGAGCCATATTCCTAGGCCAACAGAAAGACTTTGGAGATTGTCAAAAATAAGGTAGTTAAAGGGTATTTTCTGACAACAAAACAAACAAAAAAAAACACTGCAGAATGGATCAGGTACATAGTGGAAAGCTAAGAATCATGAGACCAGTAGTCAGTGAAATACCATTAAAGAGGAAGAAAACTAAGATCTTAAAATAGTCTGGACATAAGTAGGTATGTTCACAGCTGAGCCAGAGAATGTTATACAGCATTTGTGTTGATTTTTGAGCTTCAACTCAGGACCTGGGTTCTATCCCTGAGCTTTTTTCCTTCAGGCTGGTGCTTCTTATCACTGAGCCAAGGCTCGGCATCCAGCTTTCTGGTGATTAATGGAACGTCTCTCCAATGAACTTTGCTGCCCTGGCTGGCTTCAAACCATGATCCTCAGAACTCAACCAACCTCCTGAGTAGCTAGGGTTACAGGCATAAAGCTACCTGCATCCATCAACAGCATTTTTGACATATGGGGTTTGGGTTTAAGCTACTTTTTCCTAAAATGTATTCTCCTGCATAGCTGTCATTGATGAACTTCATAGCTAAAATGGTGGGTAATACAGAAACATGAATTGAGGTCTTTACTTTCTATTTCAGAATATGATGGTGTGGCAGAGAAAGCTGGCAAGGTAGAAGCTGAGGTTAAGCGGTTACATGATCTCATCGTAGAAATCAACAACCATAAACTCAAGGCCCAGCAAGACAAACTGGATAAACTCAACAAGCAGTTAGATGAATGTGCCTCTGCTATTACAAAAGCCCAAGTAGCAATCAATACTGCCGACAGGTAATGTGTGTACTATCCCTTTTGTTACCCAACAGGGCTTTACTAAGGAAACAATTTACAGTGAAGGAGCCTTTATCCAATGGCCTACGTTTTAAAACTGGTAAACAAGGTATCTTAGGAAACTGCAATTTTGTAACTCCCCCATTTTTGAGGCATAAATATAAGTTTTGTTTCTGTGATTTAGAGGAACAGAGATAAGAATGGAATCTCTTGGCAAGACTGTACTGGCTCTTTTATGTAGTGCATGGTAAGGCAGGTCTGTTCACTGAAGCATTTCCAGCCCCATTAAGTTATGGGATTTTTTTCTAATTTCATTACCACAACTCATAAGACTTAAGTTGTATGTCCCTTCATGGATCCTGAATAAATTAACCTTTGAGAATACTAATGACATACGTAAAATAAAGCTAGCTACAGATACGAATCACTGAAAATAAGATAGACACATAGGTAAAGTGACAGATTTCACCAGTTGTCAGTGGCTCATGCTTGTAATCCTGGCTACTTAGGAGGCTGAGATCTGAGGATTACAGTTTGAAGCCAGCCCAGGCAGGAAAGTCCATGAGACTCATCTCCAATAAACCACTCAGAAAGGACCAGAAATGTGCTGTGGCTCAAGTGGTAGAGCACTAGTCTTGAGAAAGAGTCTCAGGGACAGCACCCAGGCTGAATTCCAAGTCCCAGGACTGCCAACTAAAAAGATTTCATAACCAAATGGATAGCTTTGCATAAAAGTCTTAAAATTGGATATTAGAGCTTATATAAGAAATTTCATATGTATTTGATAAAATCATAGTTCATCTTCATAATTATAGAAATGCATAAAATCCAAGTTAAAGTGGCTCAGTGAGTTGGGAAAAAAATGTCACTTTGAGTATCTTGAAAAATTCCTTGGTAGACTTTCAAATCTCATTACTACATTTTCACTGTCATTTTGCTTTAGAAATTTTAAAAAGGCACAGGACTCTGCCTTTCGCACAGAGAAAGAAATAAAAGATACCGAGAAAGAAGTGAAGGACTTACAAGAAGAGCTAAAAAACCTTGATGAGAAAGCAGAAGAGGTCATCAGCAACACAAAAGCTGCTGAGGTACGTTTTTATTTTGTATGATGGAGGAAGAGTGGTACCCAAAGCGGTGTAACTAAACCTATTTGTACAACAAAAAGTGAGTATCCAATTTTGTGTGAATAAAAGGGAAGGGATATGGGGACAGGTTGCTAACTGCACTGGGAAAATACGTTGTTGGAAAAATCGTGGCTCTAGAAGTTGTTGGTTTATAGGAATCCTTGCCAGAGATCCAGAAAGAACATCGTAGCCTTCTTCAGGAACTGAAAGTTATTCAAGAAAATGAACATGTTCTTCAAAAAGATGCACTGAGCATTAAGTTGAAACTTGAGCAAATAGATGGTCATATTGCTGAACATAACTCTAAGACAAAATACTGGCAAAAGGAGGTAAGAGTGCTACCATTTACTTCATTATTTGAGCCTCTTATTGGTTTTTGTTTTGAGGCCAGTTGTGATTATTAATTTTGATACAGTCTATTTATAAAGCACCATTTTAAACAATAGTGCGGAAAGATTGAGTACTTGTTAGAATTGGGCAACCCCAGAATTAAAGATTTTAGAAAATCTTACATTTTATGACAGGTAATTTTATTGAACTAATTTTGAGCATTCATTAACAAATTAGTCTCATCATGATTTCATATTTGTATGATTGTATTTTCTTAAAAACCATGATGTCGATTTGCCTTGTGAAAGTTAAAATATGTTTATCACTATTCCACAATACTGTGAAATATGTGACACTTACGTAATCACCTAATCTCAATTAAAAAAAAAAAAGTGAGAAGGGATGGGTTAAGAGCAATGGGTGACAATGTTGTCAGACACCTTGTACTCACATACTGTTTTGTAGAATGGGAACTTCTTTGTACAACTACTTAAAGATATAATTTTAAAATGTAAAAAATAAATCCTCTCATCTTAATTGAACTTTTAGATTTCAAAACTGACATTGCATCCTATAGAAGATCATCCTGTTGAGGAGATTTCGGTTCTGAGCCCAAAGGATCTGGAAGCAATCAAGAACCCAGATTCTCTAACAAACCAAATTGCACTGTTGGAAGCCCAGCGCCATGAAATGAAACCAAACCTCGGTGCCATCGCAGAGTATAAAAAGAAGGTTTGGATACATTGATGCATAATAGATTCTCTTAATTCTTAGCCTGAATCATAACTTCTAACTTTATAATGATCTGAAACTTATACCTGAAGTTTTTCTCACAATCTTCTCATAGGAAGAATTGTATTTGCTACGAGTAGCAGAACTGGACAAAATTACATCTGAAAGAGATAATTTTAGACGGGCATATGAAGACCTTCGAAAACAAAGGCTTAATGAGTTTATGGCAGGATTTTATATAATAACAAATAAATTAAAGGAAAATTACCAGATGCTTACTCTAGGAGGGGATGCTGAACTAGAACTTGTAGACAGCTTGGATCCTTTCTCCGAAGGAATCATGTTCAGGTTTGTTCTACATATTGCTGTTCAATATTTCTAGGGGTGAGCTATGAAGGTTAGCTAATTTGTTTATATATTTGCGAGCTTATAGTATAAATTACAGGCCAACAAATACACAAGGTATTTGTGTAGTTTGGTTTTTTTTATAGCCTTAGTTAAAAGAAACAAAGAGCAAGCATACTTAACTCATCTTTGAGATCTTCAAATTTTATTAGATGTTCCTAATGTTCATCTTCTACAAAGGGTTTTTAAACCACCTAGAAAAAAGGAGGATGGGGCTGGGAAAGTAACTCAGTGGTAGAGCGCTTGCTTTGCATGCCTGAGGCCCTGGGTTCAATTTCTCAGCACCACATAAGCAGGAAAAAAAAAGCCGGAAGTGGCGCTGTAGCTCAAGTGGTAGAGTGCTAGCCTTGAGCTGAACAGCTGAGGGTCAGCGCCCAGCTCAGAGTTCAGGCCCCACGACCGACCAAAAAAGAAGAAAAGAAAAAAGGAGGGTGGTAGGTAAGCCAAGCATGGTGGTTCATGGTTCTAAGTGCTGGGTGCGGGGGAGGGTAAAAAGGCAGGAAGATTGTGAATTCAAAGCCACTCCAGGCTACATAGGGAGCCGCTCTCAAAAAAAAAAAAATTCATTTGTGAAAAGCACATAGGAATTCCCAAGGAGGCTGGTAGAAGTAATTTACACAATTTTACACATAATTTGACTAAAAGGATTACCTAATTACAGTGTCCGGCCACCTAAGAAAAGCTGGAAGAAGATCTTCAACCTTTCAGGAGGAGAGAAAACGCTCAGCTCACTGGCCTTAGTATTTGCTCTTCACCACTACAAGCCCACGCCCCTTTACTTCATGGATGAGATAGACGCAGCCCTGGACTTTAAAAATGTGTCCATTGTTGCATTTTACATATATGTAAGTCATAATCATTGTTTTCATTCTGGAATTTTGTGACTCCATGGAATTATTTGGATTATTTACTACTTTTTCTTTTTTTCTAGGAACAAACAAAAAATGCCCAATTCATCATAATTTCTCTTCGAAACAATATGTTTGAGATTTCAGATCGCCTTATTGGAATTTACAAGACATACAATATAACAAAGAGTGTTGCAGTTAACCCAAAAGAAATTGCATCTAAAGGACTTTGTTGAACTTTATCCTAACGATGGCAAGTTTGGACAGATTTGGTGAATTTCTGGTTCTGTTTGTAAAAGATTACACGTGGTTGTATAAAGTACATATTAAGCTATTTGGCAAAAATGGTTTCTATTTTCACTGTTTAAGGTTATAGTCTATACTTAACCGATTGTAAAATTTTTATCTTGCTATATGTATATATATATCCCAAGCTGACCTCAGTCCTCCCTCAGCTTCTTCCTAAGTACTAAGATTAAAGATGTGCACCCCCATGCCCAGATCCTAAAGAATAAAATTTCTACATGGCAAATTTAGAGGAAATAGAATGGCTGGAGAATCAGGTGACTTGACCTTAGTCAAGTACTGCCACTAATGTGAGTTCAAAAAGTATGTTGAAAGTAAATTTCAAAGCTAGAGCATGTTGTCAGGGCTCAGCTTCTTGTTCACTTGACCTACAATGGGAAATTCTGCCAGTCAACACTGGGCAGATTCTTAAGTCTCTGTGCTTAATGATGCTCACATAATGGGAAACTTATTTGCTCAATGACTCATAAAGGGAAAATAAAACATGTGACTAAGACTTTTTGCCTGGGGGAGGCAGCCAGGGGCCAGGAGGTAGGTTTATCTGGTACTCTCACAGTTACCATGCTATCACTAGAGCCACAAGTGTGGGGCATCAAGGGCTGGGGTATCCTCACACTGCTTCAGCTTGTTCATTTTTGTCCTGCTAGTTGAGCCACTGTTCTTACACCGTTTTTTTGCTGATTAAACTGGAGATGTCTCAGGCTTTGTAAGGGCTGGCTTCAAACCATAATCCTCTGATCCCATCCTTCTGAATAGTGCTCAAATAGGACTTTTTTTTTTTTTTTGGTCCGGTTGTGGGGCCTGAACTCTGGGCCTGGGCCCTGTCCCTCAGCTCTTCAGCTCAAGGCTAGCGCTCTACCATGAGCCACAGCGCCACTTCCAGCTTTTTTTTCTTATGTGGTGCTGAGGAATCGAACCCTGGGCCTTGAGCATGCAAGGCAAGTGCTCTACCACTGAGCCACCTTCCCAGCCCAGGACTTTTTTTTTAACTGTATTTGAAGAATGTTAGGAATCTGAAAGTAAGTTGACAGCCACTTGGATTTCATAAGAAACCATCTAGAGATTCAATTTCCAGGTATTTCTCTTAAGAATTCATCAATTGCCAACTCATTCATTAGACCACTATTTATGCTTTGAAAGACAAACCTTGCTTTTTTTGTTGTTGGTTGTGGGGTCTGAACTCTGGGCCTGGATGCTGTCCCTCAGCTCTTGAGCTCAAGGCTAGTGCTCTACCACTTGAGCCACAGCGCCACTTCCGGCTTTTTGTGCTTACGGGATGTTGAGGAATTGAACCCAGGGAGGGCCTCATGCCTGCAAGGCAAGCATTCTACAACTGAGCCACCTTCCCAGCCCCCAAACCTTGCATTCATAATATAAAGTCATTAAAAATACAAGCACACTAGTGGCATAGACAAAGGCCTAAAATTTAAGTGTAATCAAGTGCATTTTGTTGATGAGACAAGATTACATTTTGATAAACAGCATAGTACTGAATTTTGAAGCTGGAATGTCCAGAGCCCATATGAAAATTGCAAAGCCACCACTCCTGAATTAGCTTCTTACCAAGCCATTAAATACAAATAAAATACCAAAAGGAGTTTATTATAAAAGTTTCATACATAAAAGCTCAGGATTACTGACTTTACAATCTCATCCTGGTGAAGTACAAAACAGCATGATTAAGGATCAGCTACTTCAATACTTCTCAAAACAAACACAAGTCTTAAAAAAATACTGTCAATCCTAAAATGGTATCAACAGGCATATGCTTTGAGTTTATAAATCTTACCAGTAAGAAACCTTAAACACACACATGGCTTTGCATTACTTCTGTGAAGTTAATACCCTCCTCAAAAATTACGATCTTAACAGTAACTTTCATTCCATAAATTCATTGCCTAACTACATTTTTCAAAAACTTTTATAGTGACTAATATCTTAAGCATAGTGCAACTTCAGTCTAAAGGTAGTATGTATGACTTAACCTGGTATACCCTTTAAAAAGCTGGACATAATTGTGCTAGTCTGGCTCTGATGATAGATTTAATGCTGTAATCTTTAAGTGGTAAAATCTGTTCTCAGCAAGACCTTTAGAACCAGTTCCCAGAATACAGCTGTTTGTCCACTTTCAATGTGTGGGGCCAAGAGCATCCCCTAATTAGCCTAGAAATGGTGCTACAAGCAGTACTCATGGGGCTCACAAAACCCAACGTGGAGTTCATGGACAATGAGCCAGAAATCCTACTGTATCCCAAGTGTCCCAATTTCAGTTAGAACTAAGGCGTCTCTTAAAAGTTCTGGAACGTAAGATGGTTTGTGGTACTTCTGCATCAGCACAGTGAATAAACACCTGGCAAGAAGGCTAAGTATGTTGAGTATGTCACATACAACTAGAAACTGACTACCAAACCAAAAATGTTTACTGGTAGCATACACTAAGCAAGGGCTCTACCCCAACCCTCTGAGAAAAGGTCTATGTTGCCCAGGCTGACAAAGTTATGCATGTATACAAGGATTTCCTGCCTCAGGCAGGAAATTTACATAAACTATAAAAAATGACAGGTATTAAGAGTCACTGTATAAAAGTACGTTATTCCACTTGGAATGCTTCAAAAGTTAGATGTCCTGTACATCTAAGATTTTGCCTTTTTTATCAAAATGTCACATACACATAAAGCCAACCATTGCAGAAAGTAAAAGACAAAAGCTATTACATTGTCAACCTCTTATGCCAGTAAAAATGGGGTGTATTACTGAATTTACTAGATGTTTTCTGATAAATGACAGTGTGAACTAACTTTCAGATACTGTTATATACCAACACAAGCCTGAATTGGAGGTTTGGCTCAAACGACGGAATGCCTGAAGTAGTACATCTGCCTAGCAAGGCCCTGAGTTCAAACTCAGGTATTGTCCCCCCACCCCTCCAAAAAAAAGTTATTGTCCCAACAGAAACACGGAAGATTTAATATATTTCTATATATTTATATTTGTTGCAAGTCTACTAAAGTTTAGTTTGCTACTTTAGCTACCCTAGTCTCCATTAGCAGTGGTTAGCCTCTGCTGTCCCCCAAACTCACTTCACAATTCAGATTTACATTTTCAACGATAAACTATTTCCCACGTAAATTCCTTCAAAAAATAAAAAGTGTGACAGAGTATATTTTGTAAATCATGCAACTTGCTAGATAAGCTTTGGTAAACAGACAAAGAGACTTCAGAAAAACATATTGAAGTGATTTCATTTAAGAAGGTTATTATGTGATGGTTGAAAAGGAGTATCAACATTAATATCACTGAAATAAGCGTGACTATAGCAATATTTAAAATCTTAAAAAGCTCAATCTCTTTTTCATCTTTCTCAGGCCAGGAACAGGGCACCCTTCTTGAAGAAATCTTCATTTCAGGAATAAAAGCTTTCTTAATTTTTCCTATTTCCGTTCTGCTCCATTCTTCTTTTAATACTTTGCTTACCCGAGGTTGAATTTCAACAGGTTGGACATCAGGAAGTGGTCTTTCTTTTAGCATCTGCACACGCTGGCGAACATCATCAATTTTTTCTAGAAATTTAAGTGGAGATTCTTCTTGTAAAGACGTGGTCATGGTAACCAATTCAAGCTGCTGCTCTCGTATTTCCTTTAGTCTTTCAATCTGTGGAGTATATTCTTGACTCATCATATTGCCAACATCACAGAGAGCAGTTAGGAAGTTCTTCTTTTTCTGTTCTAATGTATCAGTAAGCTCCTTAAAATACTGGAGAACAATTTCCTTGTCACCTTGGACCATTTTCTCTGAATGAGATTTCTGTTCTTCTAGCTTTTCGATAAGACGAGTAATATCTGTCCAGTGTGCATCAGTAAGTTGTTTAAGCAATCTTCGCGGTGTGTCTTTTTCTTTCAGATAGGCACTCTGAAGGTCATCTATAGGATGACCATGATGTTGACCTATAGTTAGGCAATGACCACAAACTAATTTTTTATCCAGAAGACAATAAACATTCAATGGTTGCCTATAGTGTTCAGGGCAGGTGACAATATCTGGATGCTCTTCCTGCTGATATTTTTCAATGATAGCCCTTAATGCAAAATTAACAGGTAAAGATTCAATACCACTTGGAGCAATTTCAATAATACTTCTGCAGTTAGGACACTTGAGTGGAATTCGCAAAGGTCTCCATATATAAAAATTACCAGATGCCTGAAGAACATTTTCCAAACAGTTTCTACAAAATGTATGAGAACATGGTAATACACGAGGATCTTCAAAAATACTGTAACAAATGGGACATGTTAACTCATCCTCAAAATTGTGCATTTCCTGTCAAGAGAAAAAAAAAATTCAGTCTATTCTGTATACTTTATACATTAACATCCAAATTATTAATATACAGTGCTTGTCATCTAAAATTTACTAAGCATTTCTTTTTAAAAAGTCTAATTCAATTAGTCAAAGTTATTCACAAAGAGTAAGCGATAAAATTCATACCAAAATTTATACCAAGTAAAATGACTCCAATTAACAATTTAAACTTTTTCTATATAATGAGGACTAAAACTTAGTGTTCTTTAAGTTACTTAGTAATTACAATTACTGTATGCAACTTGTTACATGCCAAAATGCTCAAATCCAGACACTGCACATATATAGGTAGTAAGCATTTCATTTATACAATATAACAACTTAGGTTTAACGACCTCATATGCTGTAATTTTTTAAAAAGCAAATGTTAGTGCCTCATTGATATTTGTTTTTATAAGCATACATTTGTTAGACATTTCCAAATGTACAAGATGCATTTCAACAATGGCTCTCAATCGTGTGTGTGTGTGTGTGTGTGTGTGTGTGTGTGTGTGTGTGTTTAGAAGTATCACACATTCAGCTTGTTCAGCTTTTAGGCTGATGGCTGATGCTCTACCAATTAAGCCAATCCTGTCCAACTTATTAATGGTTAATTGGAGAGTCTCAGAACTTTTTGCCTAGAATAGCTTCAAACTGTGATCTTCGTATCTCAACTTCCTGAGAAGTTTATAGGACTATAGGCATGAGCTAAAACATTCAACTCATAGTTTCTTAAAGCAAGTTACAGATTTAGTTTCTCTAGAAAGTGAGTATAAATTTCTTACCTGTTTGAGTTGGAAAAAATATCAGAAACTCAGTTTCTGCATAACAATTTTCTTTTAATTTTCATGGTACTATACCAAACCCAGAATATTGTATATATATGCTGGCCAAGTGCTCTACCACTTACATATTCCCAGACCCAGACCAACAGTGTAACTTGTAATTTTTTTTTTTTGCCTGTCCTGGAACTTGAACTCAGGGCCTGAGCGCTGTCCCTAAGCCCCCCACCCCCACCCCACCAGGGTCGTGGGGTTTGAACTCTGGGCCAGGGCACTGTCCCTGTGCTCTTTAGCTCAAGGCCAGTGATCTACCACTTAAGCCACAGTGCCACTTCCAGTTTTCTGGTGGTTAATTGGAGATAAGCGTCTCAGAGGCTTTCCTGCCGGGCTGTCTTTAAACCAAAATCCTCATATCTCAGCCTCCTGAGTAGCTAGGCTTACAGGAGTGAGCTACGGGTACCTGGCTTCCTAGAGCTCTTTGCTCAGTGCTATCACTCGTGGCTTTTTCTGTTTATATGGTATTGAGGAATCAACCCCAGGGCTTCATGTATGCTAGGCAAGCACTCTACCACTAAGCCACATTCCAAGCCTAAATTATTATCATTATTTTTTTTTTTTTTTTGTCAGTCATGGGCTTGAACTCAGGTTCTGTCCCTGAGCTCTTTTTGCTCAAGGCTTAACACTTTACCACTTTGAGCCACAGCTCCACTTCCAGTTTCCTGGTACTTAATTGGAGATAGGAGTCTTGAGGGCTTTCCTGCCTAGGCTGGTTTTGAACCATGATCCTC